CTGCCTGATGGAAAAATGTCAACCTGCAGGAAGGTTCCAGTGGCATGCCACAGAGCTCTGATCTTGATCTTGTCCTATGAACTATTTTTATTAATGACCTACATGAAAATGAAGAAAGCATACCTAACAAACTTACAGATGGCACAATTATGATAGCAATAATATGCAAATACTTTGTATGGCAGAATTAGAATTAAGCTACATCTCCACAGGATAACGAGTTGAAATCAAATTAGGTAAAATCAAGCCTCTAAACATATTTCCACCTGCACTCATCCCTCATCCCAAACACACAACTTAAAATAGCTTCAACTATATAATTATATATTAAATAAAGTGTGGCTTAGCCTCAAAACTTGTTAAAAAGTTTTAAGAGTTTAGTTAAAAGTATTCTTGATGTGTATCAGTAGTGTATGTGGCTATCAGAAAAAGCTGATATTGAAGTGAACAGCATTAATGGAAACAGAAGAAGGGACACAACTGATTGCTGGCCATTCCTAAATGAGTCAATCAAGGCGATTGTCTGGGAAGAGTTTCATCTAAGGCACTTCAGATCTACTCCCAGCCTTTGTTCAAGGGGTGGCCAAAATGGTCATGCTGGTGCTTTTATTAATCACAGAACCTTTGTCTCCGCTCAGCCTCAGCTGACTAAGGGAATAACTGACAGGGCTTGCTAAGAAACTTAAATGCAGCCTAGCACAAAAGAGGTGAACTGGGCTCATAGATTTCCCTCTCTTAGGTTTTTGAACTGAAGGGGAGCAGAATTTGCCACCCCTATTTTTCTCTGGCATTTTTCTTATTTGGGGCTCATTATTTTTTTTTAAATATATTTTATTGATTTTTTACAGAGAGGAAGGGAGAGAGATAGAGAGTTAGAAACATCGATGAGAGAGAAACATCGATCAGCTGCCTCCTGCACATCTCCTACTGGGGATATGCTCGCAACCAAGGTACATGCCCTTGACCGGAATCGAACCCGGGACCCTTCAGTCCGCAGGCTGACGCTCTATCCACTGAGCCAAGCCGGTCTCGGCAGGGGCACATTATTTTTAATTAACTGCAGACACAGGAGAAGCTCTGAAAGCCAAGTAAAAATTAACTTCTGTAAGAGTTGTTTACATGTATATGGGAAATTTCTATTTGTAACGGTGTCTACCTCCTTGTACCAGGAGGAGGAAGATGAGTCAATCCTTAGAGACTCTTTATAAAATTGATTTTTTGAAAGAGAGGAGGAAAGAGAGGGAGAGAGAAACATTAGTGGGAGAGAGAAACATCAATCAGTTGACTTTTGTATATGCCCCAACTGGGAATCAAACACACAACCTGGGTATGTGCCCTGACTAGGAATCAAGCCCACCACCTTCTGGTTCACGGGACGACACTCCAACCAACTGAGACAGTATGGCCAGGGCTCTCTGGAGACTCTTAATAATTGAGAAGCAATAACAACTTTACTCTTTTTCACTGTGCCTTTCCTAATAATCTCCCATAACTGGCTCCCCACCCCCAACATCTTTCTTTTGTCATTATCTAGAGACTAGAGTGCATGAAAATTCATACACTGGAGCCAGGGGGGAGGGGCGCCTCAGCCCAGCCTGCCCCCTCTCACAGACCAGGAGCTCTCAGGGGAGGGAGGTGACCTGGTGATCAGGGGAAGGTGATGCCCCATCATACCTCTGCTGCTGCCACTGCCAGCAGTGCAAGCCTTGGCCAGCCCTGGTTTCCTGAGCCTCAGGCAGCCCTGGGCAGCTGCACAGCTGCCATCCGAGGATTGCCTGTGCGTTGAGCCGGCCCTGAGTGATTGGGGGGCTGAAGGGACTGGGGGATTCCAGAGGCAGGCGTATGGAGTGGCTGGGCCCACGTGGGGGCAGGTCCCACATTGCTGCACACCTGCCGCCCTGGCGGGGCTGAGGGAACTGGGCGCCACCATCTTGTGGCTGTGGGCGCTGCCATCTTTGAGGGCGTGGCAGTCAATTAGCATATTCCTTCCTTATTGGCTGTGAGCACTGCCATCTTTGCAACAGCATGAGGGTCAATTAGCATATTCCCTCTTTATTAGATAGGATTGTATTTAAGGTGATGGCTTAGGCCATTTCAGGAGATTACTCAGTTTTTCTGGGTGTCTCCTGTGTATACAGGAGGTACACATATTATTAAACTTCTGTTTGTTTTTGCCCTGGTAAGCTTTTATTATAGGGTAGGCTCAGCCAAGAAACTATAATAGTAAAAGGAACATAAGTTTCTTTTACTACAAGATATCAGATAGTTAGCAATGGGACATGCAGCTGAAGTGATGGAGTGAGAGATGCCAGTGGGTACCGTGGAGTCACGTGGTGGCAGTGGAAACTAGACAATGTTATGACAAAGTAGAAACTATGTGGTAGATAAAAAATATAATGAGCTGATGATACACTATTGGACAAAGAAAGAGACAGAGAGGGGGCAAATATTTAGAGGATTGCTGAGTCATGTTAGTGCCAGAGACCAATAGGGCTTACCTGCCAGTGAGAATTTACCAAAATTTCCTGGGTTCCCAGGAACTGACTATATACTTAAAAATATGCTTGCAAATACTCCAGGCAAGCTGAGTGATCTCTGCTCCTTGCAACCAAAGAGCCTCCTAAGAACCCACACCTACGTTCAGCCTTGGCCATAACACTTCAACAGCAGTTTGGACAAACTGAAATGTGGGACTGACATGCAGAGAGACCAGGATGGAGGATTTGAAACCAGTTAATTTGAGGAACAGCTGAAGGAACTGGGGACACATTTAGCTCAAAGAAGAGAAGAATCAGGAATATTGAAGGGCTTTCAGGTGTAAGAGGGACTTTATTTATTCTGTGAGACCCTGGAGCCAGATCTGGGAGCAACGGGCAGAGTTAAGAGGTGGGAGATTTTGGTTCAATAATAACTTTCCAGTAGCGGTTTGAGATGACACGGAATGCCTTAGGAATGAGTCAGTTCCCTATTATGAAGATAGTATTTAAAGAGAGGCAGGTGACCACTTAGTACGGGTAGCAATATTTCCTTTGAACTGTATAGTGCTTTACAATGTATGAAGTACTTTCTGAAAAACTAGCTTGATCTTCCTAACAACCTGTTGAGACAGGCCTTTTTCTATTCGTTTTTACAGATGAGGAAGCTGAGGCTCAGAGAGGCTATGTTGAACAGCTCACGAGTAGGTGTCAGGTCACCCACAGTTACCTTTGATTGAATACACATGAAAACATTTTAAAGGCTATATTTGGAAAATCCCAGCTGATCAGACTGATAGGTTTTCTAGGATTTTAAAAAATTCATCTTTGTGATACAGAATATATTTTCAAATATACTAAAAAGGTACTCTCTGCTCAGTCTCACATGAAAACTTATGTTCTTCTCTGTGTCTTATGAAACTGAGAGCAATTAATACATTCCTTGCATAGATACAGAAGGTCTGTGGGTGTAGTTTGTACAAACATGCCTAGATGTACATTTCAAATAAGAATAGTTTTCTCTCTCCACTTGCCAGAGCCCATTCCCCATACTCCTTCCAGATTTCCTGTTATTTGGCTTCTTAGAGGAAAGGAGTGTGTTTGCTTGTCAGGATTGCTAGTTAGCCAGATTGCCCCAGTGTTTCCTTAGCTCTCTGTCACTAAGCCCTGCAAAGGAATTAAAGGAAGAATGAGTAATCACCACTGTTAGTGAAAACTCCTTGAAGATATACTGTACATTAGTCACTGCTTTGCTCACTTCATTCACCTCCCTGCCTTCAATTAAAAAATAAAAAAGAACACTATATAAACCCTATCACTAGCACAGTTCTAATTAGGTTATCTTCACCATATGTGCTGACTGCTATATTTTCTCTTGGAAGATAGCAGAAACATCACTTTATGAAACTATGTAATCTAGTAAGTGATGGATGATACAGAGTTTCCTGGATTTGGGCCAAAGTGTTTTCGGTTTGTTCGTGGTGACATATTCTGTGATGCCATGCCTGGCATTTAACTTAATATGCTGCTTAGGGAAAAAATAACCAGCCTTATAATGTGGGTTTATTAGTCCTCCCATTTCTATTCCCATTACCAGATAGTGGGATAGAAATTGATCAGAATTGACACCAGACATTGCTTATGAAGTGATATATTACACCAACTGTTTACATACAAATGTATTTAGAAAAACTTTTGGTGGTAGATCTAAATAAGGCATAGAGAAGACAAGGGGGAGCTCTTGAATTTATAAGATAACAGAATACTGTGTTTTATTAGGTAATGTTTTTCATATTAATAGAAAGTTGTAATTTTCTATTTAAGATAGTGACTGAAAATGATGAACAGTTTCTCAGTTAATCACAGCTTGTGCTAAAAATATATTATGATTAAGGGACCTAGAGCTGTGGAGGAGTAGAATTTTAATCACATGACAAAGATTTGAGGAGTGACTCTGGAAACTTAAATACATGAAGTGACAGAAAAATAGAGGCAAACTTCTTTGCTCAAAAGACCAAACTTCATCCTAAAGGCAGAATCAAGTTTTTAAAATTATACAAGGACGTCCAATTCATGAAGCAAATCCCTTCTTAAAATGTTGGAAGGCAAGTTACTATTTCAAAGAATCCTATAATAAATAAAATGCCCACTATTACTGTTCCTCCAATTGTGTTTGGATCTTCCCATTTCTTTAAATGAGGGATGATTGCCTTTTAGTAGTTTGAGGAAACAATGATAGTCTTAAGTAATGGCTTTGTTTCCTATGTTTTTATGGGTGTCTGCCTGTGGAACGATTAGGCATCTATGGTTTCATCTTTTCACGTGTATCTGCTCTGGCCTGTGTCTGCTGGCGGGCCTGGATCTAGATGTGTGTTCCTATGTGTGCATTTGTGCTTGTGAAGGGCTCTGCATCTCTCTTCCAATGAGTGTCTTTGCGGATATTTATGGTAAGATGGGTTTGGGCACTCAGTAGAATCATTGTCTGCTAATCCTTAAGTTTAGCGGGGTCAGTAATAGTTCAAGTACCTGGTCTCCAATGGTATGTTGCTGTTCAAAACCCAGGTGTTATGCAGATGAACCGAATCCTGTGTACTGGTTGGAGGAGCTGGAGCAGCTGGGCTGGGCTGGCTGCGGGTAGTCATGGACCTCCTCTGAAGAGAGTCCGCTGTAGGGGGCGGCTTCCTGGCACAGGTGCAGGCATGAGGAGGTGGCGGTGGCGGCGGGAGGGGTCTGAAGGTGAACTGGTTGTGTGGGCTGCTCTGCATGTCTAAAAGGAGAGAAGAAAAACACAAAATAGAGACTTACTTTCCCACTTGGCAGTCAGGAAAACACAGCCTGTCAGATTTCGCATTTCAGAATAATATAACCTGTGAGGTGTGGGAAGTGTTAAGTTCAGTCTATCTGAAAAAATGTCACTTGACTTTCAAAGACAAGTGCCCACATGCTCATGAAATGTAAAACATTCACAGTTGCATTTGCATGTAAATTCTTCAGGGCTATTGCAGCTAAAAAGTAAATGAGGCCGCCTCACACAATTTGTCATAGTTTCTGCTACTGAACAAATAAATCATCAACAAGACACGAAGTTACAGAACAGAAGTGAGCCGATTTCCATCAGCTGCAAAAGTCGCACTTCGGAAAATACCAACGAAAGGCACAAATTTATTGCAAGGAAAATCATTCAACACTTCCAATAAAACTATAAGGCCACCTTCTGGCTCACCTCAAAAAAAAGATGCTAGCCTGCCTACATGGGAGCAAATCCATACTTCAGAAAAGCAGCTCACAAGTGTGTAACTCAACTACGTGAAACTAATCTCTCTGCCAGCCCCCCTAGTCAGAGTGCTACTTGTAAAAATAGGCTAAACGGAGTTTTTTCAGGTTATTATATATATGTTTCCATGGTCACGCAAAGCACAGTCTGCACCCTGAGCCCTTCTGCCACATCTTTCTAGGAACTATGCCATATTAGCAGCAGCTTAGGCAGCAGGGACACTGGTGTTTTTTGTTTGTTTGTTTTGTTTTTCTGCCTATTTGCAGAGAAGGCAGCCTGGGACAGCAGTCCTCAGACTTCTGTTGTTGCTATTATTTTGTACTAGAGGCCCAGTCCACAAAATTCGTGCATTGGGGGTCCCCTTAGACCAGCCTGAACCCTCTTCAATCCAGGACCCCTTGGGGGATGTCTGACATCCATCTCACAATCCTATGCCCCCCCAATGGCCTGGTCACCTTTAACTGCCCCCCAATGATTGGTCTCCCCCAACTGCCCACCCTTCTGGCCTGGTAACCCCTCATGGCTGCCCCCACCAGCCTGGTCACCCCATGAAGCCTGTTGTTCAGTCGTTTGGTCGTCCCTCACTAACCCCCCGATGCCGGCCTGGTTGCCCCACGCAGCCTGCTTGCTCAGTTGTTTGGTCATCCTTCAGTAACCCCCTGCTGGCCTGGTAGTAGGCAGCCATCTTTTGAGGGCTTGAGGGTTAATTTGCATATACCCCTTTATTATATAGGATGTTTCCACTATTTTCCTAACAGGCACACGTAAAGACAGTGAGTTAGAATTTGGCCCATGAGAAATACCCCAATTAAACCCCTTTGAAAAGAAATCACTACTGTAGCCGATAGCCACCTCTCTTCTACAGGAGAAATATAATAGATGTCAAATGATTTCTTGTAGCACCAGCACATTCCGGTTAAACTTTGCAACTGCAATGGCTTTGCCCCACCTCCCAAATGACTGAGAGTTGAAAAGCAGAAAAATGCCAGAGGCTTCTGATGCCTAGCAAAGGGCTCAGCTGGTTTGTGGGGAGACATGCTTTGCAGTGGTTGATCATGGGGGAAAAAAATGACTTCTCTCAGTCCTTCCACTTTAAACTTGAATTTTGAACACATTTGTATGGTTTTCGTATTTAAAAATGATACTAGTGCCCCAAGAGCATGGCAAATTCCTCACTGTGTTTTCTAGTATAGGTGGCTCTCCCTTTAAATGAACTTGCTATATGAAAAATTGAATTGTACAAAAGATAGATAGGGAAGGGAGTGGAGACGATTCATTTTATAGAAAGAATTGCTTTAGATAGTTAGCTACTCTCATATATTTAAAAGGAACTAAAATGCTTCATGAATTTTCCAAATCGCCTCCATTATTTCAGGCCCAGCCCAAATCCCTTATCCACTAAAAATCATCACAAGTACTTAACATCTCATTAATTTTTTTAAACTCCCGGGCTTGTACTTATAACCATAACCAGAAGCATGCTTTCCATCCTTGGGAATCAAAGCACTGAATGCTGGAACCCAAAGGACCCTGGACATCCTCTCATTTTGCTGATGAGAAAACTGACACCCAGAGCACTGCTTGTCCAGGGATACTTGTTAAGTGAGTGGTATGGTCTATATTATAACTCACATGTCCTGACTCTCTGGCCAGTGCTCTATTTACTATATTGCAGATCTCTGTGATGAGTTTTCTTCTCATCTCCTTAAGATTTAGAGACACAATCCTCCACATTTTCTGGGTTTTTCCCTTATGACATGCCACCTTGTTTTGCAGTGATTTGTTTATAAGAGTGCTTATTTCTTAGATCATATCTCCTTAAATTTAGGGGAAAAGGCAGGGTGGAGTAATGCTATACAACACAGCAGAGTGGAAAGAGCACAGAACTTGGGGGAATGACAAACCTGTGTTTGAATTCTGCCTCTGCCATTCTGAAACTTTAACCCCTCCTTTGTAAAATAGATAAAATATTGTTTCCTAAGTTACATTTTAATTCATGTAAAATGTGCTTGAACAGTGTGTCAGTACCTATTTATTCTTGGAATGTAGTAGAATTATGACTGGAAATGACCATAGGGGTCCACCCTTCTCCATCTTAGAGACAACGAACCAAGACTTAGAGATGAAGTGACTCATTCAGTCATTCAACATGTATAAATTTGCCTGCCTATGTCTGATGATTCCCAGCCCAATACTCTTTCCATTATACTATTCTAGAAAATAAATGACTCTCTTCTCTGAATGTAACACTTACAGTTCTTATACTAGTAAATTTGGTTTCATAGTTTGCAAAATTACAGTATTCCATTGATATCTCATGTTTTTGTCTATGCTCCAAAATAGACTCTGTGTTTCTTAAAGCAAGATCATCTACTATTCTTGTATGCCACATAACATTGAGCACAATGGAGGTACAGAATATGATTCCTAAAAGCTTTTATTGATAGAAGAGTGATTGTTTCACTGGTCCATGGAACCTAAAGTACCACCTTCTATGTTCCTTTGGCATTTTCATTCTGATGTAGCCACTGGATATCTATTTGATAGTTCACAAAACAGTAGGTTTCCCCCTGCGAAGTTTCCATAAAATGTAACCTAGCACCATGGGGAAGAAGAATGATACCCTGAAGAGGGTGCTTAAGATCATTCCCCTCCAAGATATAAGAAAGAGCAGCCATGACACACACTGCAGATTTGCCATTTAAATCCATGAACTTAACAACACAGGGAAGGGAAGCAAAGGGTGGGAGTCCAGAGTTAGAAAAAAATCAATTTTAGGTCTTGGGTTCAGAACACCTCCATATGATATATATGATATATATATATATATATCAATCATATATATTATATATATATATATGTAATGTTTCTCTCAGTACAGTTGTTCAAAAGAAATAAAGCTTCTATTCATTACAATTGTTCAAAGAAAGAATCAGTCATTATCATCTGGATTTACTGTTTGCTGGATTTCCTCAAAATCTTTGCAACTCACTTATTATTTTGAAAAAAAGAGAGATAAAAATTCTACTTCAATTCTACTTCATCAAAAGGTACAATCATGGTATTATTATAAAATATTATGCCATTTCTGATGCAGGTAAAAATGCTGTATATAGTAATTTTGATTATATATGTCTCTTCTCTGTGTTTTGATTTATATCTATCTTATTGTGTATTATTGTTTCCACATTTTAAATATGCAGAGGTTTCCCTACTTGTTAATACTGTCTTTAAAAGCTTTCACAATATTGGATTGTTGCACTGAGTAGAATACTTCTGGACCTTAAGCCCTTATGAAATGCAAATCATCTCAGCTTCATTCTTTTTTTCACCTCAGGAAAAAGATGGAAAATGCATTTGTTTCCTCCCAAATGAAGTAATGTAACCCTTGGGCTCCATGAAATGGAATTTCTCAACATTAAACACTAATGAAAAATACATTAGGGGTCAGTGTCAGGAGCTCTAGAACACTAGTTATAAGGGTAAAGAGTCACATGCACTCACTTCCAAGTGTATCTGGCAGCCATATGTTTCTGTGCCCAAGAAAGCTGTAGTGATTATGCATATGTGGATATCCAGACGCAGTTATAAAGCTTTTGAAAGTAAATTAAGTTTTCAGGTGGAAAGGACCAATTCAAATAATTTACTTGGATAGGAGCCAGTTTCAGGTTTGAGGTCCTAAAATAAGTTGGTAAGAAAACCTATCCTGTGGAGTGAGGGTGGGAAGGTGAAGATATTCCTCCAAACTGAATATCCAAATCCAAAGCATGTTAGGTGTGGCAGAGCTGTTCAAAAAGTGTAAGTCTGCAGAAAGATTACCTTTGTCTTCAAAAGGTAAGAGGGAGAAGAAAATTGTCCAGCACAGCTTTTCTCTTTTTTTCTCTCTTTTACAAAGAAACCTTATTTTGGATCACGCGTCAGAGAAACCTTTAACCAGAAATTAGAATCTCTTTTAGAAACTTCGTGTGGAAACTTATCAGGGTGTCAGTCGGGCTTCTTTGCCCATTCATTTCATTAGCACACATAGTCAATTTATCTGTAAGGCGATGTTTGCATTTCTAATATTCATGGTACTGTGCACCATCACACATTTGCAAAGGGCTTATGGGAAAATGGAGTTGGGACATATGACCTGAAACTTGCCTGTGAAAGTGGGTGTCAGAACTTACGAGTTATTGTGAAGTGGTGGAAGGAGTGTTATCAATCAGACAGGAAGCTCTAACAGTGGGTGTGGATAAGGCTCCTAATACATGCAATGAACTAAGATAGCTGGTATATGTTTCAGGTGTATGTACGTATATGTTCATTTTGTGTATTCCCACATGACTTATTGAGTTGTATGCAGTTTTCTGGATTCATCTAGTATTTTTAAAATCTTTATTGTTGAAGATATTACATATGTCCCCTTTCCCCCCACATTGACCTCTTCTAGCCCAACCGCACCCTGCACCCCAAGCCTTCACCACCCTATTGTCTGTGTCGATCATGTGA